CCTCGGAGGACCGCCCAAGGGGCAGGGTGGGCAGCGGGTGCTGGAAGAGAGGAGGACGGTGAGCAGATGGCAGGGAACGAAGGGAGCATCTTGCAACCGCGATGCACACCTTAGGCTTGATCTTGATGGTAGCAATGTCTGCAACCTGGTCCACGTCTTGCACCACAGCGTCATACTGCTCGCCGCTGGCCAGCTTCACCCGCACGCGCCGCCGGTTTGCCACCACGTGTGCGTTGGTCACAATGAGCCCATCCGGAGACACCAGGAAACCCGAGCCGTTAGAAATGGGCACATCACGGCCCGAAAAGGGATGCCTGCAAGGTGGGCGCAGGTGAGGGAGGGGCAGCAGGCACCCTGCGGGGACTGAGGTGGGGGCAGGCAGGGGCCAGGCAGACTGGGTGGCCCAGACTGGTAGGCCTGGAGAGCAGCAGCAGGGGACAGTGAGGATGTCTGGGCAACAGCACCATGGGGGAGACGCCTTCACTTCCCCATGAAAGGTCCCCATCTCAAGAGTCCACACCAACATGCGCACAACAGGGGAACGAGGAGGAAGAATCAGGAGTCCGCACACAACTGCAAAAGTAAGATCCTGCTGGGACTACAGAGACACGGTGGGACGCTCATGAGTGGAGAGCTGCAGCGGATGGCACAGGCTCTTTGGGAAACAGCGGCAAGGAGGCGAGTAGGAAGGGTTGTGGTCTGTGCAAAGCAGCAGCCTGAACACACAGAGCCTTGCCTCACAGCAGGTAATGACCACTTGGGAGGCAACGGGTACATCTTTAGACAGCTGGAGGCAGACTCCCGATTGCAGGCCCTGGTCCCAGCGGGGGACATCCATCAGCCTCTGGAGGAAAGCCTGGTGCTGAGTGAGGCAAGGAACCTCATGACACAAGCCACAGAAAGGGCTGAGGTGTTCAGTGCCTTTGTGCCTTGCTCCTTGGGCCTCCCAAGTCCCTGTGCCCAGAGGCAGAGTCTGTGGGAATGCAGCACTACACGGAAGATCAAGGGAGGGATTGCTGAGGCCAGCTGGATACGCACAAGTCGATGGCACCAGACAGGATACAAACGAGGGGGATGGCTAATGTCCCTGTGAGTGCCCAAGTGTCACAGTGCTAACGGGGGGCTCCTAATGGCTGGAAACAGGCAAATGTCACACCAGCCTGCAATACTGCCAACAAAAAGGGTCCTGAAAACCATAGGTCAGTCGGCTTTGCCCCTGTCTCTGGGAAAGTTATGGAGCAAATGCTCCCAGAAATACTTCCCAGCCCGCAGCACACAAGCAGGGGACTGTGAGCGGCCAGCACAGACTTACCAATGGCAAACCATGCTCGACCAACCTGACTGGCTTCTGTGGTCAGAGAAGTGACTGTGCAGACAAGAGGCAAGCAGCAGATAGTCTTTACCTTAAGAAGGCTTTCAGCACGGTCTCCCGTGGCACCCTTCTAGCCACACAGGTGGCTTGCGGGCTGACAGTCAGATAAGCGGAATGGAAAACCGGCTGGACCACCAAGGTCCGAGTCCAGCTCGTGGCCAGCTACTAACACGGTGCCTCGGGAACCGAGAGAAGGGCCAACACCATTTAACACCTTTGCTCATGGACCGCAGGATGGGACACCGCACGTGCTCAGCTGCCCGCAGGCGCCGCCGCGCTGGGGGGAGCAGTCACCACACTGCAGGGCAGAGGGAGTATTCAGAGGTGCCCTGACAGGTGGGAGATGCAGGATGGCAAGAACGTTACGGAGTTCAAAGGTGCTGCTAGGACAGCGTAA